GATTAGTTCACGCGTCGCATGAAGTGTATGTGATTCAAGCAAACGCAAATCTGAATCAAGGATTTATATTTTTTAGGAGGAGGTATACTTTTACTTACTGCCGACATCGGAGATATCACGATAACGATAACATGAAGTTGCTCTTGACATGTCTTTCATGCCGAAAATGGAACTTCCTGAAGTCATAATCTTTATAATCTTTAAGATGTACTCGCAAGTGGAGAGTACGGGAAAACGACTTACCGATCAACGTGAACTGGCTGCTCCATTGTTCCGGAACGGCACTCCGAATGACGATGCATCTCAGCGCTCTATGTCACTTGGAATCGATGCACTTGACACGACTATGAATAACGCGATATTAACAATTGTCGCGATGTAATTCTCGCAATACTATGTATAGGGTCGCGATCATAGACATAATGGTTGCTTTCCAACAAGAGACACAAGTCGACACAAACATCATTCTATCTTTGTTCCACATTTAGTGAGTAACAAAGAAAGGATGATACTTGTGTCGACTTATGTCTCTTGTTGGAAAGCAACCAATATATCTAGATCGAGCATTGAGGAGTGAGAGTAAGAGGCACGTAGAAAAGGATGCATTGCGCTTTGAGTCTCTCATTCGCGCATCTCTGTAACACAACCTTTCTTAAGGCCAAATCACACTAACGATCAGGGATGGGTAATATGCGCGGCAGGAAAGTATTATGCACAATTCTGTGCATAATATGCATAAAATGTCTATTATGCGCAGAAAACGCGCAGAATATGCAGAAAATGCAGAAAACCCCTGAGACGCGCCCACTCTAATCTAAAATAACCTTTCTTCCTTCAATATATAGTTTTAGGCAGCTTGCACTTTGCCTTAATACCACTCCACGATTTGAAAAAAGATATTGCGCATCACCGAAACGGTACGACTTCGCCAAAAAATAAGTAGTTCGAAAAGAATCCTAGGGACATATACGTACTCCCAGATGTTCAAACCAAGCCTTCTAAAATAACCTAGCCAGCCCGAAATGAAAAGTCGAATCGACTTTTCATTTCTATCTGGGTCAACAATCCTACTCGCTGCTTTTAAATCAGTTTCATTAATACATCTGTATATGCATGTAGATATAAAAAAAATGGGATACAACGATGAACTAGATTCACAATTTCATGTTTTTCATGATCATAGACAAATATTTATACTTTATCTTATATAAAACAGTTATAAAGCCAACCAATCAGAATGTTTAATTCACTGATTACTTTATTCTTATTGGTTGTAATCACATACAACCATTTACGACTACGCTTACGCAATTGTAGAATAGCTCTAAAAGAAGTTTTATGCAGCAGAAAACCTCATTTAGTTATCTGCGCAGATTATTCGAGTTTTCTGCACATAAAACTTCACGCATAAAACATGAGATATTATGCGTACCCAACCCTGCTAACGATTGGTAATAGATGATTGACGATTGAAGATTGGAACTTGACCAATTGGAGCAAAGCAAGCCAAGGCTGAAGCTTGTTGACTCGTTAAAATCTAATTTTTAATTGTCAATCGTCAATCGCCAATCACTAATGTGATTTGACCTTTACGCATACGCTTATACACATGCGCGAATGAGAAAGAACGCAGGATCTCAAAACGCAATGCATCCTTTTCTACGTGCTTTTATCCCCACTCCTCATATAAAGGCTGCGTTCCGAAATTCACTGCCAGTATTGAAAATCTATAGTTCATGTCATATATACTATAGAATTTCAACACTGGCAGTGAATTTCGGAACGCAGCCAAAGGCAAACGCTCGGTCTAGATATAGGCTGCGTTCCGAAATTCACTGCCAGTGCTGAAATTCTATAGTATACGTGACATGAAGTATAGATTTTCAATATTGTCAATGAATTTCGGAACGCGACCATATTATGTCTATGGTCTCGATAGAACGTGTTTTTTTATATTCAAGAGATGGCGTGGTGTTTTCCTAATCCTCCGGCGGCGTAAGCGCAGCATTGAGTGCTGCAGTTTTGGTTTTTAAATTATCAAACAGGTAGCGCTGCAGTATAGCAGCTGTGGATCCAAATAAAGAAATAAGGGCCATCACACACAAAATTATATAGACGCATATGCATAGCATAAGATCATATGGACCAATGAGCATTGAATATTAAGTGGCCATATTGATGATTGATACTTAGGGCTATCGCACACAAATTGAAATAACTGCATATGCATAGCATAAGATCATATGGACCAATGAGCATTGAATATTAAGTGGCCATATTGATGATTGATACTTAGGGCTATCGCACACAAATTGACATAACTGCATATGCATAACATAAGATCGTATGGATCAATGAGCATCGAATATTAAGCATCGAACACCAATATGGCGACTTAATACTTGATGCTCATTGGTACATATGATCTTATGCTATGCATATGCAGTTATGTCAATTTGTGTGCGATAGCCCTTAATATTCGATGCTCATTGGTCCATACTATCTTATGCTATGCATATGCGTCTATGTAATTTTGTGTGTGATGGCCTTAAGTGGTTTCAGGGCCGACAAATTCGCATACTAGTGACGAGGACATTGAAACAAATGCCACCTGGTAGTGGCGGGGGCGAATTAAATCAATATAGCGCTGAATAATGAAGAATGAAGTTAACTTTCACGTTCTATGGTGCTTGTAAAATTATCATCGTCGCTTTGTGTCATACGAAGAAGAAAAGATATTCCGTACTTTATTAAATATAAAGTGCAATATAAATAAAAATATAGTGCTAAATCCTCGTCATTACACATTTATTAGTTATACATTACGTATAAAATAATATTACATTTGCAGTATGTCTTACAAGAAGTGTGCAATAGCAAATTACAATTTACGAGAAGCGGTAGGATAGGCTCTGTGTGTAAAAGAAATGGCTTACCTCTTAGCAACGATGAGTAAACAGCTGATTTCGAGGCGGAGTAACGTATATGTGTCGCTTGTTACTCCGCCTCGAAATCAGCTGTTTACTCATCGTTGCTAAAAGGTAAGCCATTTCTTTTACACACAGAACCTATTCTATCGCTTCTCGTGAGCTTATTCGTTTATACATTTTAATTAATTACGGAATAAATATTGAGAAAATTTCAAAATGGTATATAACTTTTATGATTATTTTGACCTGTTCTATCCATATACTGCGGTTGCTCGATCAGTTACTAGACATCCTGTATAATAGTATTTCATTTATATTTCTAAATAATTTCTTAATAACTTGTTAGTATTCTTACCAATGACGACTAAGTTAGGTGACGATTGTATTTTGCGTTCGTTTCGACTTCATTGATCTCAAGTACGTGAATTTCCGTATATAGAGTGCTCGTTCAAAAGTAGAAGCGCATACAGGTTACGTAGACTAGTAACGAGCCAGTTAAGCTGCTATATCCGCAATTAGCGAATTAGAACACTCACTTGAGAATTCGGTTACGACTCGTCCGTACATTTTCATACATTCGAGCACGTTCGCCGGAATGAGTAAATAATGCCGAAGTAAACACTGAGAAACCGCGCGCGCTGTTTAATCCACCGCAACGATCGTACACTCACGGCGAATTCAATTGGAAGCACTAGCGCGCACCAGTGCACACTAAAGCCGTTTCCGTAGTCCGTTCTTATATTTAAGATCATTTAATAAATTCGTTTCCGAATGCTCTGTAATCAGAGCAACGATTTGTATAGCATTTGAAGATGAATATAAGACCATATTAAATATAAGATAAAATCTATAAATAAAGCTAAAATATAAAAACGGATTATGAATCCTCTTTACGAGGGCTGTATGATAAGTACCCGTGTTAGGGAAAGAAACGCATTTATAAAATTTTTTTTTTACTTATTTTTCAACATTATCTTCTTTCAGCTCGATACACTTAATCCAGCGATATTCCAACGTTTTTATACCATCCAAAAAATATGATTTGTCGAACTCCGCAAAATAGGCCTCTGTTTCAGCGATGACTTCCTCGTTTGACGTGAATCGTTTTCCACCAAATCATTTTTTCATGTTTGGAAATAAATAAAAATCGCAGGAAGCCAAATCTGGAGAATAGGGTGGATGAGACAGCAATTCGTAACGTAATT